ATGTTTATTATTTTTCCATAAAAGCCAAGCTCATTAACAAACAAAATATAAATCCACAAAAATTGTGCAAAATTTATAAAGAATCTGCAAATTTTCAGCCGGATTTTAAACTTTTTATTCAGAGTTTTTAGAATTTTTTGAGTATGCATTTTGATAGCCCATTAAATTTCAAGGCAATAATGTGCAAGTTTAAAGGGGCTAAATAATCGCGTTAATTTAAAAAAAAATTTTTTTTCTTGTAGTCATTTGGTTAGGGGCTGGTTGTCGAAAATGCTAAATTACGTTCTGCTAAGAAGGAGCATAGCAATAGGTCAATATCAAAAAATTGTTACGAATTGTTTCTAGTACTTGCAAGTTTTTCCTGGGAATGCATTCAATAACCCAAAACATTTGCAAGAGGGAGCGAATTCGAAAGCGTAACTATCCGAGAAAGCTGCAAATTCTTGCAAGTAAAAATTTTACTAGCAGGAATTCGCACCAGTCAAAAAGTAAGGCTATGTTTCAAATTCAAATGTAAACAAACTGTTGAAGAGGATGATTTGATGGAACAGAATTAGCGAAATGAAAATATGGATGAAAAATTTAAATCTATTGTATATTTTTTTATTTTTATGACGATGAGAACTATTCCCAATTAAAAAGAAAATTGCGCGCCAAAACTTAACCGTCAGAAAGTGTCAAAATGGCTTAAGTTGCAAGTTTTTACTAGTTTTGCGTTCAATAACTTTTTCTGAAAATTTTCTCTTGCTCTCAATTTTACTCTCTATTTTTTTTACGCTCTCGCTGCAAGTACTTACTAGAAAAGTTATTGAATGGACCTAATATTTCAGTATTTTTTGTGTTCATTACATTTTCAATGAAGTCTTAAAAAAGTCGCCTACTTTTTTCTGACTTTTTTGCTGCACAGCTTTGATGCTTTTGCGAGCGTGCATGCTGCAATAGATCGGCTCTTCCTGAATTGGCTTTTAATGTGCAATTGCAAACAGTACAGCAATCCTCGTAACCTCAAGTGTTTACACAACCAGCCTTTGAACACGGGATCCTTAGTCTAAGAATCCAGAAAAAATCTTTTGAAGCAGCTGCAGCAAAACACAAAGATTGTAAAGATTTATTAAGAAAATAATTCAAAATCAGTTCCACTTATAAGATTTAGTAACAAAGAAAAACTACTGGGAAGTTAAAAAACGTAATTTTTTACACAAAAAACGTCCAAACGTCAACAGGGTACAAAAAACGTCCAAATGACGTTAAAAACGTCAACCTGGCAACGCTGATTCGAAGTAGAGTTTGCTACAGCGGCGACAGCGCTTGAGTTCTATTGTGAAGCAAAATGTAAAACCAAAAAGGAGGGTTGAAGTAAAACAGCAGCAGATCATAGCAAGCACACCGAGTGCACAAGAACATTTGCATGTATGTATGTCAACAAATGAAAGTGGTATACTTGTACCTGCGAGCATATGAGTATTTAAATGAATATGTACTTTGTGTTTTTTTTTTATTAAAAGTGGACTGTTTTTATTATAATAATAGCTAGTTTTAAGTTTTTCCATTAACTTAATTTTATCTTATTTAACCAAATAAAAATTATACACCCCTCTACAAAATGATACTTGCGCCCGGTATGGGCTATTTATTTTTAAATTAATTTTAATTAGATTTTTTAAGGAAAATTGTCTAACCAAAACCATATAAACCCGAATTTCAAACTTTACATACAATGATATATACAATGGCTCTTAAGCAAAAAATTCACTTTTCATAAAATTTTAGGAAAATTGACGTGGCACCGCCTACTTATATCATATATGCGTATATCAAAAACAATTTCACCGATCTCGACCAAGTTTGATATTCACATTGTGCTTGGCCTCCTTAAGCAGCGTGTTGGACGAAAACCACGTGCTCCACCCACTTAACGCTAAGTTCAAAAAACTCAAGGCTAGCTATATTTCAGGGGGGTAATTTTTGCCCGATTTCAAAAATACTCAATACGCTGCTTAAGGAAGCCAAGCACAATGTGCATATCAAATTTGGTCGACATCGGTCAAGGAGTTTTTCATATACGCATATATGATATAAGTAGGCGGATCCACGCCCATTTTCATAAAATTTTATGAAAATAATTTTTTTGCTTAAGAGCCATTGTATATATCAGTTTTGAGTAAATATTGATGAACTCCCTAGCCACACTGCTCAAAAAATCTGCCCGTCCGGTACATACACACAAATACATTTGGTTAAATTGCTTAACTTCGACAATTTGAATGCAGTTCTATCAGGTGAGGTATCAATTTATTCGAAAATAAATGTTCTGTTAAATGAATACCACATATTTGCCAACTTTCATAGACATTTTTGAAATTAGCGATGATCAAAGTTGAAAAAATGAAGAAATATAGGGACGCATTAAAATTTAAACGATTAAAATTCTCAACAAATTAAGTCTAACAACATATTGTTGTATATTTTATAGGTCTATCCAAAATGTTGTCCTTTGCATATTTAATATTATTAAAAATATAAAAAATATAGTATTTATTGTTCCTGAAAGCTTTTACTTTTAATAACATTTAATGAAAAATGCATTTAAATTTATGTTCGAAAGAGTGAAATATTTGTGTATTTATTTTTCCTTTTTATTAATACTCAAAAAATTTAACACTAATTATTGGCAAATCTTTATGGATTTTTTTTGGCATAAATTCAAGATTTTTATAGCACAATATTCTTGAAATCAAAGAATCAGCAAAGAACACACTAAAGAGAAATGTGAAATTTGCGGAATTTGACAATTGAAATGATAAGCCAAAAGGCCGGCAAATCAAAAAACGTGAGTATAAAAAATTGTATATGAAATTTACATACATTTAAACGCCCAAATTATCAACTTGGTGCAGAATATACCATAACTAATTAACTATTTGTCGTTATGGGCGTTGTGGAGCAGGAGCAGCCGACGTGGCCACCAATAAAGTCCAATGAATAAGATGTGATGCGGATCTTTTTGATGAACTGAAGATCTCAGGAGCCTTGCAGGTGGAAGTACATACTTCCCAACAATCGCTGTGGATAGTAGTCGGCCGATGTGATGGTTTTTTGGACGCAACCAGTCAACTGGAAACTACGTCCGATCGCCTACAGGTAACTCTTAAGAGTAAGTAAAATCGACCGTTTAGTAAGCGATGAAGGTGCTGCTAATATGCTACACTCCTTGGAGAGTGAGCCTGGGATTATGCGTACATTATGATTATGTGAGTAAGTGTATAAACAAACAGCTAGTGAGAATGTAATAATTATTACACTCCAATAGTTCTTATTCGAGCGTTGCGTCAGTGCAAGCGTCGAACTACTTTAGATAGACCAATATCGAAAGCTTCAAATGCCTCCAAAATAACAGCGCCGACCAAAACTTGGCAACATAATATAACTCTGGCCACGACTGCGGAAGTTCAGTAACAAAAACTGCCCAAAGCAGTTTGTTACAAACGTGAAACGAAAATAATAATGCATCCAAGGCGAATCTCCTGCTATCACCTTATATTAATTCTCCTTGAATGCATCTATTAATAGTTCTGAGTTCAACACTCAGAAGGCGAAAATTCTATTATAAAAATAAAATTAAAATTATAATAAAAATTATAATTATAATAATTAAAATTATAATAAAATTATATTATATATCCTGTAAAATCCTGCAAAACCTGCCATTCGTACTGCTGCTGAAACGCAACTATTTTCTTCATTTGCTGTGTGTATTATAAGAATAAAAAAGTTTTCGCGAAAGGTAACACCACGCATGACGATATGCTACAATATCTCCAGTGTAACTTAGGGCTTACCCCAGACAATACTGTCATAATAATATCAATACTTGCACACTTTTTCACAAATACATGCATACTTTTTCATTGGAACAATTTTGACAACTAATACGTATATCTTCATTGTCTTGGCAGCATTGTGCAATGTAAACGCGCCGTAAGATGAGGTGTTACCAATTAGTTGGTTTACTGCCCAAATCTGATCTACACTTTACTATATAAACGAAGTGCACCACGCACTTTGGACTTAGAAACGGGAACCGAAGAACATCAGCCAAATTTGATAATCAATTGCTATACGGCATATAACATCATGTTTGGCATACGCAATTGGGAGCACATTGACAAGGTGTGTATGGTGTAGGAGGGGTAAGGGGTTGTTGCAGTTAACAACTGATAAATTGTGGAATTTTTCTTATTTGAGTAGTCCACTTGCAAAGTGCGCTATGTGAAATTTTTTCGATTTCTAGTTTTTGGTGGGTAACGTACCAGAATTTAAAGTAGTTTCATGTCCACTAACAACACAGTGCAAAATCTTTCTATATTCGGAAAGAATTTGCATCAAATGTTAACCTCTCTTGCAAAAGTCGCTATAATGTAGCATCAAATGTTAACTTCTCTTGCAAAAGTCGCTATAATACTTGTTCATACACTTTTAACAGTCTCCATCTTCGTATGAACTTAGAAAACTGCAACAAAACGCGGTAGTTTCGGTGCCTAGTGGAAGAGGTAGTAAAAAAGAAACAGACCAATCTTCATGGAGGAGAGAACGCGAAAAGCTAGCTATGTAAAAATTACTTTTTCAAAACTTGCTGTATACTTGCCATACTGCAATTTTATTTTTTAATGTTATTAGGTGCTTATTTATCCAAATTTTCAGGTAATAAAAAAAATATACAGTTTGGATGTTACCTGTTGTCGTAGACGTTTTTTAATTTATGGCTTACTTTTCTAAATTAACATAACGCTGTTTGCAAGTGAACTACTCATTTGTTTTTGTTTTTGGTTACGTTTTATTGTTTGGACTTCGCGTCATCTAATCAATGACACGCTACAATGGCTTCACGATCGGTACTCGTTTAAAGTGATACCGCCAATGGGCCAGATTTTAGCGAGTCAATTGCAGCCCTATCAGTATCTGGTAGAGAATTTGGCAATTTCCGAAGCAAATGATTGAAGATGCCCTGTGGGGAAACGAACTAGCGCGGAACTGGTTCGTTTCTAGTGCGTTTGGAACCATGACTAGTACGCGTTAATTCTCTTTTGCATGCTAGCGACTGGCGAATTTAACATTGCGATGTCCTAGGAAGTGTCAATTGTCCCCCGTTGCATCCCTTTGGCTCTAGTTCCGAACCAGTTCTAAATTCGACAGAAAAGATCTAGTTCGTTTTGCACCCCTTTTTCTATAGCTCCGAACCAGTTCCAAATTCGACAGATGAGATCTAGTTCGTTCTGCATCCCCTTTTCTGTAGTTCTAAACCAGTTCCTAATTCGACAGATTAGATCTAGTTCGATCTGCATCCATTTTTTATAGTTCCCAACCTGTTATAAATTCGTCACCTTAGATCTACATTTCTAATCAGGCTTCTCGAAACATTTCCCTTTTATATCAAATTCGATCGGTTGAAGGAAGGACAATACCATCACAAATGTTTAAACGCATATATTAAAAATTGATAAACCACATTAGTAGTAGTCAGTTCTTTTTAAGTTTATGTGTATATGAAGTACTTTGAAAGTTTTTGTCGTACTTAATGTAAATAAGATATACAGTCAGTCAATAAAGTTTAGGTACAGCGAAGTTTTTACAATACCGGCAACTATTTTTTAAATGTTTTATTTTTCCCTAATTTTTTATAAAAATATGATTAATTCTACACCATAAACCCCAAAAATCAGAGTTCCAAACATTATACAAAGTTAAAGAAATATTGCAATTTCCACTCTTTAGAAAAAAGTTAAGTACGCAGTTTTTAGCCCATTCAATTTAAGTATAACAGAGTGCAAGTTTGAGGTAGCTATGACTTACCATTAATATTTAGCTTTTTTTTTTGTTGTTTGGTAAGTCCTAGCTTCCTCATACTTGCACTTCATTATACTAAAATTAAATGGGCTAAAAACCTGCAAACTTAACTTTTTTCTAGAGAGCGTAAATAGAAAGTGAATTATTTTAATGAAATTTTGCAGAATTTTCTTAAATTTTGCACAAGGTTGGGAACTCTGATTTTTAGGGATTTTGTTGTAGAATTGACCATATTTTTACAAAAAATTACCGAAAACTAAAATATTTAAAAAATAGTTGCCCGTATTGTAAAAAATTCGTTGTACCTAAACTTTATTAACTGACTATATTAAGGTAGTGCTAGATTGCATAAAAAAAATTAGTTTGCCTTTTCTTAAAAAAAAGGTAGCTCTGGTGGCTTGAATTTTTAAATAAATTTAGTGAGAAAGTGGTAATTATTTTGACACTTTTTTTTTTTTTTAATGACTCTTTTTCCGCAGCTGCATTGCCTTTCTCAATTGTACTTCAGGATCTTGGCCTTTGTTTATGGAATCACTAAGTATAATGATTATTAAGCAAGTCAAAAACTATACCAGCGTGATTACCGACGTATCCTTTTGAGAAATAGCCGCACCCTTATAAAAGGAATAAGACCCAAACTTTTCAGGCAAAATTTCAGTAGGTTGCGTCTGTATGGCCTTTTCAATTTTATAAATTGTCATTATTTTTAAGTGGAAAAATAAAGCTCTAAATTAATGATAATCTCTGCGCGAAAAAGTAAAAATCATAAAATAATTATTATTTGTAATCCCAAAAATAAAAATCAAATAATAAAACTCAATAATAATTCATAAAATAATGATTAAATGCTGATTTAAACTATTTTACTCATAATGATTACCTTCCCTGCTTTTAAAATTTAAAATAAAATAGTTTAGTGAAAGTACCACATTTCACTGCTTTTGGACTGGTGCGGAACTAGTTACTGTCGGACTGGTTCGTTTTTGGCGAAAAAGAACTAGTACTGAACTAGAAATCTGGTTCACTAGTTCGTGTTTTCCCTACAGGGTGAATCTAGCATTCAGTATTGTGAGCATACTCAGGTTTTAAGCTATACATTTTTTATATTTTATGCCCATGCCAAGGCGTAAATAAATTAAATAGCATAATATTTAGCAAATTGATAGAATAATTAGCGTTTTTTTTAATATACAGGTATATGTTCGAGACGTGGGTCAACCATGTTGCAACTTTTCCCCGTATTTTATTTTATATAAAATAGCTATAAAACACATACATTTGTGATACGCACACCAAACCGTCAGTACATTTAGAAGCGAGCAAATTTTAAAGCAGTGTGCATTCCTGTTGGAATTTTTATTAAAACCCTTATCGCTCATTTACTTCAATAATGTCTTAATCCAAAAAATACAAATATTGAGCTAAATATGTATTCCCGCTACTTCTACTTCTATGTTGTGCAAAAATTTCATAGCTGTATCGATTACCAGTATCTCACTACCACAAAATTATATTAACCTTTACTGTGGGAATATATGTAAATTCAAAACTTTAAAATCTTTTTTCTCGAGTTTCCTTTTTTTGTGTTAACTATTATTAACACTGTTTAAATAAATGAGCGATATGTTATCCATATATATGTATGTATGTATGTAGCAGTGATGGGCAAAATTGTATTTACTAAGTATTAAATACTAAGTACAAAAGTATTTAGGTATTTTATGTTGTTGTAAATACCAAAGTACTATCTACTTAGGTATTTAGGAGCTGCTAAATACCCAAGTACTATTTACTTAGGTATTTAGGAGCAGCTAAATACCCAAGTAAACAATACTTAGGTATTTAGGTGGTGCTAAATACTCAAGTAAAAAGTATTTAGGTATTTAGGAGCTATTAGATATTAAAGTAAGAAAAACTTGAGTATTTAGGAGCTGCTAGATATCAAAGTACTAAAGACGAAAGTATTTAGTAGGCGCTAAATACTCTGGTCCAAAGTACTCATGTACCTTGGGGATGCAAAATACTTCCGCTAAAGTACCAAGGTATTTAGTCGATGGGTAAATACTTTCAAACTAAATACTGTATAATTTAGGAGAAATTTAGAGAAATAACATCCCACCTTACACTCACCTCAACTTACATTACCACAACTCACTTCACGTCTCCTCAAATCAACTCACCACATACAAACTCACCACACCTCACCTAAACTCACCAGACCTACTGCTAAACCAAAATCCACCAAATCTTGACTCACCATAGTTGAACTCATCACACCCGTTCTCACCACACCTTATCTAAACTCAATTTGAGAACTGTTGCGGGATTTGAGAGATTCCTCAGACTAAATCAGGATTTTCAAGACTATTTCTGGGTTTTCGGGACTATTTTGGGCTTTTCGAAGCTATTTCGTAATTCTTTATGAATTTAGGGTTTGAGATTTGCGGAATTCTCGGAACTAATATCGGGATTTTCGAGACGACTTTCACAATATTTAGGTATTTTTGGAACTAGTTTCGGGATTTTTGGGACTTTCGGGACTCTCGGAATCAATAGCGGGATTTTCGGGAGAATTTCGAGATTGTCGGGATTTTTGGGACTCCTGGACTATTTTGGATTTTTAGGACTAATTTCAAGTTTTTGGGACTTTCGGGACTGTTTCGAGATTTTCGGTACTTTGGGACTTTCGGCAGCATTTTGCAATTCTCGGGAGTAATTTCGAAATTTTTGGGACTCCGGGACTACTTTTCGATTTTTGGGACTTATATCGGTCCTTGGGGACTATTTCCAGATTTTAGGGGATTATTTCGGATTTATGGAGTTTTCGGGCTTCTCGGGAATATTTTCGGGACTGTTGGGACTTTCGGGGCTATTTAGGGATCTTTGGGACTAATTTCGGATTTTTGGGTCTCCCGGGACTATTTCGGGATTATCGCGAGTAATTTTGGGACTTTCGGGACTTTTTCCAGAATTTTGGGACTAATTTAGGATATTTGGGACTTTCGGGTCTATTTCGATGTTGTCTTTAGTAATTTCGGGATTTTGGGACTTTCAGGACTGTATCCAGATTTTTGGGACTATGTCGGGATTCTCAGGAATAATTTCGGATTTTCGGGAGAGTTTCGGGATTTTTGGGACTTTCAGAACTATTTTTGGATTTTGGGAACTAGCGGGACTATTTCTGGATTGTCGGGCCTAATTTAGGAAATTTGGGACTTTCGGAACTATTTCAGGAATTTTGGGACTATTTCGTAATTATCGGAACTGATTTCGGGATTTTTGGGACTTTCGGGAATATATCGATTTTTTTGGGACTTCTTTTGGATTTTTAGACTTTCGGGACCATTTCAAGGTTTTCAGGAGCATTGCGGGATTTTTGATCTAATTTCGGATTTTTGGGATTTTCGGGACTATTTCTCCATTTTTGGGGAAAATTTAGGAATTTTGGGACTTGCAGAACTATTTAGGGATTTTTGGGACTTATTTGGGATTTTTACAACTTTCGGGATTCTCGGAGCTAATTTCGGGACTGTTGGGACTTTCGATGCTATTTAGGGATTTTTGGGACTCTCGGGACTATTTCAGGATTATCGGGAGTAATTTAGGTATTTTTGGGACTTTCGAGACTATTTCCAGATTTTTGGTACTTATTTTGGATGTTTGGAACTTTTGGGTCTATTTCGGGATTGTCGGGAGTAATTTCGGGATTTTTGGGAATTTCGGGAGTATTTTGGAATTTTTGAAACTTTTGGGACTATTTCGGGATTCTCGGAACTGATTTCAGGACTTTCGGGATTATTTAGGAATTTTGGGACTAATTTCGGATTTTTGGGACTGCCGGGATTAATTTGAGATTTTCGAGACTACTTTGGAGCTTTCGGGACTTCCGACATTCGTGGGACTAATTTCGAGAATTTTGGGACTTTCTGAAGTAGTTTCGAAAGTCTTAAAGTTCATAAATTAGTCCCAAATTCCCAAATGGTCCCGAAAGTCTCAAAAATCAAAAAGTAGTCCCGAAAGTCCCAAAAATCCGAAATTAGTCCCAAAAATCCCTAAACGGCCTCAAATGTCCCAAAACGCTAAAATTTGGCCTAAAAACAAAGATAGTCGCGGGAGTCCCAAAAATACTGAGGTAGTCTCGAAAATCCCGAAATTAGTCCCGAGAATCCCGAAATTCCCAAAATTAGATCCGAGGCACTCAAAATAGTCCCGACAGTCCAGAAATAGTCCCGAAAGTCCCAAAGATTCCGAAA